CCCTACCCTCCCCACTGCCTTTCTCACCTGTGTAATGACTCCCTCCACCTTCCCTTACTCACCTCTGTGTATGACCCCACTCCCCATTGCCTTACTCACCTCTGTGTATGACTCCTTCTCCCCCTCCATTACTCACCTCTGCGTATGACCCCCCCCTCCTCCCAACTGCCTTACTCACCTCTGCGTATGCCCCCCCCCCTCTCCACTGCCTTACTCACCTCCATTGATGACCCCCTCCCCCTCCCTACTGCCTTACTCACCTCTGTGTATGACCCCACTCCTAACTGCCTTACCCACCTCTGCGTATGACCCCACTCCCAACTGCCTTACTCACCTCTGTGTATGACCCCCCTACTAACTGCCTTACCCACCTCTGCGTATGACCCCCCTCCCAACTGTCTTACTCACCTCTGTGTATGACCCTCCTCCCCACTGCCTTACTCACCACTCTCTGCGTATGACCCCACTCCCAACTGCCTTACTCACCTCTGTGTATGACCCTCCTCCCCACTGCCTTACTCACCTCTGCATATGACCCCACTCCCAACTGCCTTACTCACCTCTGCATATGACCCACTCCCCATTGCCTTCCTCACCTCTGCGTATGACCCCACTCCCCACTGCCTTACTCACCTCTGCGTATGACCCCCCTCTCCACTGCCTTACNTCACCTCTGTGTATGACACCCCACACACAATGCCTTACTCACCTCTGTGTATGACTCCCCCTCCCTTACTCACCTCAGCGTATGACCGCACTCCCAAACCTGTTACTCACCTCTGTGTATGACACCCCACACACAATGCCTTACTCACCTCTGTGTATGACTCCCCCTCCCTTACTCACCTCAGCGTATGACCCCACTCCCAAACCTGTTACTCACCTCTGTGTATGACACCCCACACACACTGCCTTACTCACCTGTGTATGACTCCCCCTCCCTTACTCCCCTCTGTGTATGACTTCCCCCCCCCCCCCCAAACACACACTGCCTTACTCACCATCACCACTGTGTATGATTTCCCCCGTCCCCCTCCCTTACCTACCTCTGTGTCTGTGTATGACTCCCCCACCCCTACTTACCTCTGTGTATGACACCCCACCCTTACTCACCTCTGTGTATGACTCCCCCTCCCTTACTCACCTCTGTGTATGATGTCCTGACTATGACACCACTGTATGGCCTTACACAGCTGGTATGTATAACTCCTCACTTTCTCTAGTGGTACACCGTTTGGCATCTCCTCCAGCAACTCCAGCATGTTCTAGAAAGGAAAGAAACTATGTTAAACAGCTGACTCAAGTCAATACTCAAATTTCTGTTGAGCCTTTCATTAAAACTAACTGATTTTTAACACTGAAAATCTATGAATTTTCTTTTATAAAAGCTTTATTCTTGTACCTGTCTCATTTAATATCAATCTTTTATATGAGACACCCAGGACTTTCACACTTAATCACGTCTTACCCTTTCAACATATTCGAACACAAGGTAGAGTTTCCCTTTGCGCCGGAATGCCTCCCGTAGCTCCACAATGTTCTCCTGTTTGAGGGTCCGGAGCATCTTGAGCTCTCGCAGGGTTGTCCTCTTGACATCTTCATTTTCTGAAGGAGTAAGAGAACTTATCACATGCCTGGTAAATCTTACTATAGTGGTACGTACATACAGCTATGTATAACAGGTCACATACCTGGTAAATCTTACTATAGTGGTACATACAGTTATGTATAATAGGTCACATACCTGGTAAATCTTACTATAATGGTACATACAGTTATGTATAATAGGTCACATACCTGGGAAATCTTACTAAAGTGGTACATACAGTTATATATAACATGTCACATATCTGGTAAATCTTACTATAGTGGTACATACAGCTATGTATAACATGTCACATACCTGGTAAATCTTACTATAGTGGTACATACAGTTATATATAACAGGTCACATACCTGGTATATCTTATTATTGTGGAACATATAGCTATGTATAACAGGTCACATACCTGGTATATCTTATTATTGTGGAACATATAGCTATGTATAACAGGTCACATTCCTGGTATATCTTATTATTGTGGTACATACAGCTATGGATAGCAGGTCACATACCTAGTAAATCATACTATAGTGGTACGTACATACAGCTATGTATAACAGGTCACATAACTGGTATATCTTATTATTGTGGTACATACAGCTATGTATAACAGGACACATACCTGGTATATCTTATTATTGTGGAACATACAGCTATGTATAACAGGTCACATAACTGGTATATCTTATTATTGTGGTACATACAGTTATGTATAACAGGTCACATACCTGGTATATCTCATTATTGTGGTACATACAGCTATGTATAACAGGACACATACCTGGTATATCTTATTATTGTGGAACATACAGCTATGTATAACAGGTCACATAACTGGTATATCTTATTATTGTGGTACATACAGCTATATATAACAGGTCACATACCTGGTGTATCTTATTATTGTGGTACATACAGCTATGTATAATAGGTAACATACCTGGTATATCTTATTATTGTGGTAAATACAGCTATGTATAACAGGTCACATACCTGGTATATCTCATTATTGTGGTACATACAGCTATGTATAACAGGACACATACCTGGTATATCTTATTATTGTGGAACACATAGCTATGTATAACAGGTCACATACCTGGTATATCTTATTTTTGTGGAACATATAGCTATGTATAACAGGTCACATTCCTGGTATATCTTATTATTGTGGTACATACAGCTATATATAACAGGTCACATACCTGGTGTATCTTATTATTGTGGTACATACAGCTATATATAACAGGTCACATACCTGGTGTATCTTATTATTGTGGTACATACAGCTATGTAAAACAGGGCACATACCTGGTAAATCTTACTATAGTGGTACATACTGTTATGTATAACAGGTCACATATCTGGTAAATCTTACTATAGTGGTACGTACAGCTATGTATAACAGGTCACATACCTAGTAAATCATACTATAGTGGTACGTACATACAGCTATGTATAACAGGTCACATAACTGGTATATCTTATTATTGTGGTACATACAGCTATGGATAGCAGGTCACATACCTAGTAAATCATACTATAGCGGTACATACAGCTATGTATAACAGGTCACAAACCTGGTATATCTTATTATTGTGGTACATACAGTTATGTATAACAGGTCACATCCCTGGTATATCTTATTATTGTGGTACATACAGTTATGTATAACAGGTCACATCCCTGGTATATCTTATTATTGTGGTACATACAGCTATGTATAACAGGTCACATACCTAGTAAATCATACTATAGTGGTACATACAGCTATGTATAACAGGTCACATACCTGGTAAATCTTATCATAGGGGTACTTATGCATGAAAATATATATTTAAATATATATTTTCTTTTATTGTTGTTAACCCTTCACAAGGACACAACATACATAACTACCTATATACTGATGTCTTTTATTGTTGTTTACCCTTCACAAGGACATAACTACCTATATACTGATGTCTGTTATTGTTGTTTACCCTTCACAAGGATACAACATACATAACTACCTATATACTGATGTCTTTTATTGTTGTTTACCCTTCACAAGGACACAACATACATTACTACCTATATACTGATGTCTGACATTTCCCAGAGATAACATTGAACAACATAACTGTTTCACATACTTATTTCTTGATTTGTAAGTCTGGACTGTTCAATCAAAGTAAATATCAAACATATATTTAAATTGATTTACATGATTTTCCTTCCACTTATGAATGTATATTTGTAGCAAATAAAATATTTCTAATTAAATTGTCCCTTCGATGGTGTAAACAAGGGTATATTTTCACAGAAAACCTTTTCACAGCGGCTGACTCTATGTATCGGCTGTGTAAACACAAATACCACACCTGCTATTTGAGTAGGTTTTAAAAAGCTTCCTACAAACAACTCTCTCTATGTTGGGTTAGACACACTTCAGCCCTCCTAAGCAGACACAAGCAGTCCTTGTGCCAATGTAATTTTATTTTGACCTTTGCCAATTATTTTTTGAACATTCTATGTCCTAGATATTATATCTACCACAAATTCCCGATACACCTGCATGCATGCATACAAAAATACAATCCATGTCCCTAATACCAAGGATACTGTACGATCTGGACCACCACAGATCATGACCTGTACCACAAATGACCTTTGACCTATCGCAGATGTCCATTAATGACAAGGTACCACAGGTGATTTATGACTTAGATCATGGATTTACAATTAATGTACCACAAATTAAATAAACTTTGACCTGTACCACTAACATACTTTGACCTGTACCAATCTGAATCACAAGTTACTATACAACATTTACCTCACAAGACTGGTATCCACAAAATATTCATTTTCTAAACACAACCAGTAATCAAATTTACCTAAATAATAAAACATTACAATGTTTATGGAGGCAGTAATGTGTAGGACGTCCTGATCAGTATCACAGGGTATTGAGCGGATAATGGTTTGCTTTACATTACCCATCCGATACCAGTCTAAATACTTATCATTGATTGCAGTGCTATAAAGTTGTTGATGACAGGTGTTTGACAGGCACAGACTTGACAGTCACCATGACCACAACTGTAATATTGGTCCATAAAGTCATCACTCGGAGCTACTCCCTCTACTCATACCTCAACCAGTCAACTCATTGTACAAACTCAAACAAGCTCAACGATATTCAACATCTTCTCAAAAGTGACAGAAGGGGTGGTCTCTTCAGGTAGTTTCTATTGTTTCTATTTATAATGAGTGGACTCTCCGTACAGGACCTAACGTATATAAATTGACTGAAGGGTCAAGTAAGGAAGGTTCTGATGTATAAGTAGATAAAAGGGGTGGTTTCTCAGGACACATTCTTTTGTACTGTGTAGTCATTATGAAGGGGATGAGTACTGGGTAGATCGTTTATACCAGAGTTATATTAGATGGTTCGATGAAGACAATGAGGTGGACTTGATATGTTTGACATTAAGGTTTGAAGTCTAGTGTAGCATCACTGGGGTATACATCAGTATACCTACATCTGAAGACCAGTAAACAATGATGGAATGTGTGAGTGAAACAGTAGTATATATCTCCCTATAATAGGCTTATACCAGTCAACACATCAACACTTGTGTAAACCAACATAGAGGCTGGGCGAAAAAATTGCAGCTCACCCCGATTATTGAATATTGATACAGGTGTTTTGTGGAGATAAGGTGTGATACATCAGTGACAATGAACCACAGCTGGGACTCTGTAAAGGGGGTACTGTTTATCTACAGAGATTTAATAACCGTGTACCTGTAAGTGAGAAACTCTAACAGGATCAATATACAGCCCTCCAGGAGTGTGGAGTCTACACAAATAGGTCAATCATTTCTGTCAACTCACACCAATCGTGAAACCCTCAAGGTGTCAGGCACTACGTACATAATACCCAAATACACTTACATAAATATTGAACATCTTATAAATTATGAAAAGCTGAAATGTTTTGGGTTTAAAAAAGAAAACAAGAAAATATCTATACAAGTAATTCTAAAGTAGAAGTTAAATATGGGTTATATCTGCGACAATAAGTTGAAGGTTATATCTGTGATAGTTAAAGTTGAAGGTACTTGTGTAGACTAACTAGTAATGTCTGGAATGTCTCACACACTTCTCTCTCAAAAGGATTTAAACTTTGAATAACAAGTGTGATCTCTCCAAAACCTCTCCTTTAATGTAATGTTAATGGGTGGACACACAATCAACATTATACAGTAGTAACATGTTTTGTAGGGTGTGTTGTTCACCCATCAACGATGAGTAGGATCAGTATAGATAATGATGAAGGAAAAAGCTTTTAATTAAATGTTCAATCAGATGTTTAAGCCACAGCCCTAAACTTCTGTAACAGTTAAACAGTAATTGTTTAAATGTTGTATCACCCCCTGTAACAGTTACTAAGGCCAATACAGTAATTGTTTAAATGATGTTGGCTGTATCACCCCCTGTAACAGTTACTAAGGCCAACACAGTAATTGTTTAAATGATGTTAGCTGTATCACCTCCTGTAACAGTTACTTAGGCCAATACAGTAATTGTTTAAATGATGTTGGCTGTATCACC